TGAGTTACTCGAAATACTCATACAGGTACTAAGGCAGGGTTGTGTGAGTTACTCGAAATACTCATACAGGTACTAAGGCAGGGTTGTGTGAGTTAGACACTCAAGTGCAAGACTGCCTGGTTTGAAATGAACCTGGTCAAGGTAATTACTGTCTTTGAACGCTGGCCAAATTGCTGTCTCGTCTTCTCTTTTCTTAGCTGTACATTGAGGATAGTAGGGTGTCTGTTCTAGAGTCCCTGGGGGAATAGATGACTTTGTGTCTGCAAGTACTTAGAACAACGACTGCACATGTGAACACTGAAGAACTGTCAGCTCTTATAGCTAGGAGACTCAACTTTCATTTGGTGATAGCCTCTACCTATACCACGGTACAGCCTTCCACCGGTTTTTATATCGTTTGCAAGCCAAGAATGAAGTGTAGTCTCCATGTATGAAAACGGTATCAAAACAGAAAGAATCTTGCATTCCTCTGAGAATTTTGTGAATTTCCGATTTCAGTGTCATCTGCCACTGTCATCCATTTAGTGTCATCGTCAGTCTAAACCACCATTGGAACACAAACACCGTTATGCTTTCACCCCGTGTCCATGACTGTTTCTTGGCTTGACCATATACCTGACTGATCTAATTTTTAATGATATTTTTATAGAGGCTTATCTCCTGCAGAAGCAGAATTTAATTATTTGAACACAGCACGTACCTTAGAACTCTATGGAGTTGAATTCCACTATGCAAGGGTAAGTGAAGACTGCTAATTTGATGTTGCTTGGTTGGATTCCATTTTTTATTATACGTTTTAAAAAGTACCTTGATATAGATTAGGCAGCAATCAATAACTTGTGAGTACTACTGACATAATTGCATCGAAAATTTCTTCTAAATTTACGTATTTTCACAATTAGTTAGGGTTTAGTACCTGAAAAGAGAGATGAAATGTTTACTCATGTTCATTGCCTTAAAAGATAGTGCTTAATGTTATAACCTACAACTTATTTATAAAGGTGATTTGGCAGAATACAAAAGGCAGTCCTTTTATTATTTTATAAAGCAAGTTGAGTTTTAGGGAAATAAAATTTGATGTATTTAACTATTTGATCACCATAATCAAAAGATGCTCTTACCTTACTGAGGTGAAAATACTGTTTCACTTATTTTCTGTTTGTAAATTTTGATTTTTAAAGCATAAAATAGAGCTTACTGATATATTTTGCATATATTTCCTCATTATTTTACTTACATGGAATATATAATCAATATCTAAACCTTTGCAATACTCTGTAACTATTTTCCTTGTGTCAAAATTGGCTGTCTCCAAAAGAGGACTTATTATTCTGTCATAAGCAAAAGTCACCTTTATATGTCTCTTAACGTAGATGCCTTCTTAGGATTTTCTTTTTTATTTTAATTTTTTCTTCCTCATTTTAGGTCTTTCTATTTGTTTGGTAGAGAAAATATATTCAACAAACCATTTGCCCGTTCTACTACTAATTGGGTGACATTGATTACATTCTTCATGTTGGGCAGCCATTATTAATATCTATTTCCAAATTTTCCTACCACCATTAATTGACATAAACTTAGTGCTCCTTTAACAGAATTTTCTCTTTTCATTCTGGTAACAGCTAATAATCTTAGATTTCTGTATTTTTGCTTGCATCGTTTAAGTGAAGTTATACAGTATTTTTCAGTTTGTGACTGATTTATTTCACCCGGCATAATGTTTTCAAGATTTATCCACGTGGCAACATACATCAGAATTTCCTTTCTTTATATGTTTGAGTAACATTCCGTTGGACCACATTTCTTGTATTCATTCCTTCTTCTGCTATTGGCCATTTTGGTTGTTTCCACTTTCTGGGTATGAACATCTGTAATGCACATTGGTGTGAAATCATAATTTCTTATCACAAGGTTATGTTCCCTTGGAATTACCTGTTGTTGTTACGTGCCACTGGGTCAGCTCTGACCCTCGCAGCCCTTACACACACAGAAGGAACCACGGCACAGTCCCGTGCCATCCTCACAATCGTTCCTGTGCCGGAGCCCACTGACGCAGCCACTGTGTGTCTCCATGCCACCGAAGGCCTTCCTCTTTTCACCGTCCTCCACTTTACCAAGCATGACGTCCTTCTCCAGGGACACTGCGTGCAAAGTATGCAGGACTTGCCATCCTTGCCTCTACGGAGTACGGTGGGCTTACTTCTTCCAACACAGCTCTGTTTTCCTTTTTAGCAGCCCATGTTACTTGAGTAGTCTTCTCAGTCACCACAATTCAAATGCATCTATTGTTGTGTGGTCTTCCTTACTCAGTGTCCAACTGTCATATGCATACGAGGCCATGAAGGATACTGGGCTTGGGTCAGAAGCACCTTAGTCCTCAAAGTAACATGCTTGCTCTTCAGTACTCTAAAGAATTACATATGATCACATTATTAATCATAATCCTCCCTCTCTTTCGGTGTTTCATGCTTTTGATCGGAATTTACTAAAATGACTACCAAGGTCAGTCATTGTAGTCTTTAGCAATTCTCTTCGTGTACTTTAGCATGTACAAAGTGAAATACAAATACTGTTGCTCTTTTTTAATTTAAAAGCATGGCTAGATCTCATACATAATTAAATGTATTGCTTATTGATTTTATTAAGATGGTATTTTGTTTAAATTATTAGATTGTAAAACTTTCAGAAGACCCTAAGTATAAAGTAATAGATTAAAAAGTTTTAAGTTTTAAAATGGTCAACATTATTGTATGAGGGGGGGTCTTCTAATGTTTCATGAAAAAAATCCCATAACTTGCATATCTATCCAAGCATCTAGCCTTAAATTAATCATTTCTGGATTGTATTTTTAACAGTATCTATCTCTGTTACCATTAACACTTGTCCAAGTGTCTTTTCCATCATTTTGCCAACCTCCCTCTTCTTGGATGTTGCCGCCCCTCTCACCCAAGGTAACCCTTAACACTGTCCGCCGTCTAGCCCAAGGGCCAGCAAACTTTTGAGATGGCAGAGCCAATCCTTTCCCTCAGAAAGATGTAAAAATTGTTTGAGAGCCGTAAGTATATTTTTACCAACAAAAGAAATCACCATGATCTGACTAATAGCCCTTTCAGTGTTTCAGTTTTACTTCAGAGGCGCATGTATGTACCCAAAGAGCTGCATGTGGGTCTGGAGCTTTAGTTTGCTGACCCCTGGTGTAGTCCATCACTCCCTTCTCCCATCCATCAGGTGTTTCTTGCCGTACAAAAACCTTTCACTGCCTTTTTAGAATACTCGTGTAATGTTTGTCCTTTGGTTATAGACTAATCCATTCCGTGTAAGGCCCTCCAGACTCTTTCATGTTGTGATGTTCTGCACATTGATCATTGTTCTTTATCATTGCATAGTATTCCCTTAGATGTATGTACTACTTTATCTTTCCGTTCTTCCACTGCGAAGCATTTAGATGTTTCCTTCGTTTCGTTGTTGGGCGGTACTGAGATGAACGTGGATGTGCACTTAGCTATTCTTGTTGCCCCTCTTAGTTCTCTTGGATATCTGCCAAGTAGAAGGCTTGCTGAGTTAAATGGTATTTCTGTTCGCAATATTTTGAGGAAGTGATAACACTGCTTGACTTGACGGTTGCACCATTGTACATTTCCGCCAGCAGTTTCTGAGGGTTCCAGTCTCCACAATATCACCAGCAATTGTTGTTTTCTTGTTTGATTTTTTTCCTGTCTTATGTCTCATTGTTGTTTTGATTTGCATCTCTTTAGATGGCTAAAGATTGCAGATATTTCTTCCCCCTGAATATCTTCAGGGAAGTGCCTGTTCATGTCCTCTACCCATTTTGAAATTGGATTATTTTTCTTTGAGGTACTTGACTCTCTAGGAAGTCCCAGTTATCTGATTTCTGCTGTGTGTGTATTTTCAGAAATATCTGTTGGTGTATTTATTCCATACTATTGGCAGTTCTAGGTTTTACCTTTGATCCATCTGGAGTCTATTTTTCTGTGTAGTGTGAGATATGGGTTCTGTTTCACTCTTCTGCAAATGCATATCCAGTTTGCCAGTCCCATTTGCTGGAGAACATCTTTTCCTATTTAATGTGTTCTGTCCATCTTCTAAGAGGAGTTTCCTGTAGGTAGATCAATTCGCTCATGGCTTATCAATTCTGATGCATTGGTGTATGTATAGAACCTTTTTAGATTGGGACATCAGGGGCTTCCTACCTTTTTCTTTAGTAGTCGTTTGCTTGTGAGGGGGTTTTTCCAAATAAAGTCAGTGATTAGTGCTTTTTATATCTTTGAAGCATGATGCTGGAATCTGAATTTGGATTGCATTATATTTATAGGTCAATTTGGGTATTGTTGACATTTACACAATGTTAAGTCTTCCAGTACATTAAGTGTGATATATGCTTCCATTTATATTGGTTTCTTGGTTTCTTATAGTAGTGTCTTTTTTCTTTTTAATCATTTTATTTGGGCTGATACAACTCTTATCACAATCCATACACTTTACACATTCGTTGCCCTCTTCATTCTCAAAACACTCGCTTTCCTCTTGGGCTCCTGGAATCAGCTCCTCGTTTTTCTTTTTTGCCCCCTCCCTCCTCTAGTAGTGTTTGTAGTTTTCTTTATACAGGTCTTTGTTTCTCTTGGATTATGTTTTTTTCTGGGTATTTCTTCTTTTGAATGGCTGTTGTACTATTTTCTTAATTTCCCTTTCATAGCCGTTACCATAAAGGAGTACAGCTGATTTTTCTATGTTGATCACTTACCTTTTTACCACTTTGTTGAATCTTTGAATTAGTTGCTTTGATTTTCTTGCTAAGTTTTTGTGACTTTGTATAGGATCCTATTACCTGCAAATAGAGAATTGCTCCTTTTTTTTTTGCCAATTTGGATCCCTTTAATTTCACTTATTTTCTTTATTGCTCTAGCCAAGAATTCCAGTACAATATTAAATAAGAAGAATAAAAGGGTATCCTTGTCTGGTTATTATTCACAGGGGGAATTTTTAAAGTTTTTCTCTCTTAAGATTAATGTTGCCCTTTATCTGGTTATGGATTTTTTCCCTACTCCTATAATGTATTTTTATCAGGAATAAGTGTTAAACACTGTCATATTCCCTTGATTGATTGTGATGTTCTTTTACCCTATTTTAAGTATGGCATGAATTACATGTTTTTCTAATTTTGAATTATCCTTGCATACCTCTTATGAATACCACCTGGCCATGATCTATTCTTTTTTGATAGATTGTTGGATTCTATTAGCTAGGATTTTTGTTGTTGTTAATAAGGTTCATTTTAGTGCAAAACCAAAAGCAATTCTTCCAATGTTGCATGACACAGAGCTCTGTGATATTAAGTACTGCCAGGTAGGAAGGAGGAAGGCTGTGGCTTTTGGCAGAAAAGCTTTTTCAGAAGAGCAAATTGAAGAGGCTATAGCTAGACATCAGACCTACAACTTCTCATATCTGTGCTAGAAAATTCTATTTATCCAGTTTGGACTAAATTTCAGGAAACAGGAGATTTAAAACAATGCTTATTTGACTTTACCCATTTGAGTTCACTGTTTCTTCCCCCTGCCACTCCTAAATTAGCATGACCCAGTAGAAAGCCGGCTGCTTTTAGAACCTAGCTATTTTATTTTCCTTTCTGTGGCGAGACTGTCATGGAGCCTGCATATTTCTGGCTCAAAATAACTTAGCAATGGACTTGGTGAACTTGGCTTCCCGCATCTGCTTGGTT